AGTAGTTTGCTGTCTAGAGGTAGTCATGGAAACAACATTTTTTTACAGATGACTGCTGTTATTTCAGTGATTTTTTGAATTTGTTTCTTGTGACTCTTGAATTAAAAAGCAATTTTGTGGAAGTGGAGAAATAACCTGTTTTGTAAATCATACTTAATTAAATGCTATATTGTTTGTATAATTGACCATTTAATTACGTAGTTTTTCGATGCTCATTATGCAAATAAAAAACATGTTATACAAATCTTTCCTGGTCATATTTATGTTGTTTCAATACTTCAGTAACAATGCATTTAAAATACGTTATTGAAGTAATTGTATTATTCCACTTAATAAAATCTCAATAAACAATATAGATTCACTGTAACCCAGCGAGCTCAGCAATATTAGATGATTATCTATTCTACCTGCGATACCATGCATGCAATCAGCATGACTATATCTTGTTTGTTTTATCTAAACAGCGGAAGAGGCTGAGCTAGAAGAGGAGCATGCCAGATATGTTGAAATGTTTCAACCACAAGAGCCACCAGAACCGAGACAAGAAAGTTCACTGTCAATAATTGAGATAACTGAGGTACTGTAAAATCATTTATTTTCACTGGTATTTGATTTCACTATTTTGATGTTTTGAGCAATTTCACTTTGCAGGGAAACAATGAGTTCTATTGTTATGTTCATATGAGTTTAATTTAGCAAATTTTATATATCTGCGTAAAATGCAAAATTAAAAACCAATGAATAATTAATGCATTTACAGTAAGTGTATGGATAAATTATGCTCACAATGTTTTCCCAATTAAAACTGATTGGATACAATCTAGGTTTAATTGCCAAATTTAATTCCTTCTCTCAATATGAGGCCAAAACAAAAAATAGATCTTGCAAATTTACATACCGATGAAGTGCACCACATATGGTAGAGTGGGGGAAATGTTTAATTTTTGTTTCAGAGGATGTTTTGTGAATTTAAATCACCCTATAATGCATATATTTTTCAAAAGCAATATTTAAACATTTATTTAGATGTTAAATTTATATACATGTATCTTGTTGTTGTAATGAATGAATATTCTTAATACAAAAAAAACAAACATCAATTTTGCCTAAGACGATGGGCAAAAACTTTTTTTTTTTGCCTAAATAAAAATAACAAATGTAGTTTAAAAGAGTTGAGAAAAATTTTAGAAATATTTAATAAAACTTCATCAGTGCCTCAAGCTGAACTTTATTTTTTAAGTCATCTAAATCGAAATTATCTGCAAAACACCAAAAGGTTACTTTTACAGAAATATTAATAATAATATCTGAAGTTGAGTCGAACATCAGAATTTTTCAGGTCTTGGATCACAAATGAAAAAGTCTTAATTTGGCAGTGGGAAAAACATTTCACTGGAATTTTTCTAGTAATCAGTGATCTGAACAAGCAGTGTTAATCCATTTATGTGTTACATTGAACCCATAGTGTCATGTGCCACCCATAATATGTGGAGTAAAATTTGTTTGATTTCCAATGTTTTGATTAAATTTTGTTTTGTAGCCTGTTGATGCCTATGGGTTGGAAGAAGCTACTTGTTACTCAGTTCAGGAAGGCTCTGATCCAGAAATTATTGTTGAAAATCTAGTAGATCAGCCACAGTAAGTGATATAATTCTCACAGTTTTAGGAACTTTAACTGTTACTGGCAAGTAAGCTGCTGTCAGTGAAGACATTTGGCAAATGGCGTTGTTTTTCTAGAGACTGGTTTACTGATATAGAAATAACAAATACTGGAACTGAAAAAATTTGTTTAGCGAGGAGTTTGTGTTATGATGGTTTGCTCATATATGCACTTGGCTGGAAATGATATTTCATTTCAGACACTTCATTGGTTCTCGCAAGGTTTAATTCAGTAATATATGCGTATATAGCATAAATGGGTCAAATCAAATTTTCAAAGATACTTTAAGATAATTTTTCATTATATTATAGAAAAGAGATCATGGCCAAAAAGTCTGTAAAGCAGCCAGTAAAACCAAACAGTTCCAGACCATCAAGCAGAGTCAAGCCTGGTAAAAAACATAAAGATGAAGATAAAGTGACAAATAAAACATTTGACTCAGAGGAAAAGAGTTCCCATAGATCTCAAAGTAGAACAGAAAGAAAAGTGGGGAAAGAGCGTGTGAAATCTAGGAATGAAAAGAGACCAGGCTCTCGGAGTAAATCAGTAACCTCAATTAGAGAAGAAAATAAGCATTCTTCAGCCTCATCAGCTGTTACCATGACAACAAGTAGGCCATCATCAAGTGCCAGACCTCCGTCTGCTGGAATCACTTCACAGCCATCGCTCGGGCTGCAACAAATCAGCCAGCAAAGAGTGCAAAGTAGACACACTTACAAAAAGGAGTCATTGGCGGATTTTTTCATGGCTGGTGTGAATGACGACGACGACGCTAAAGGTGATCAGAATAAAGATGTCGCTACACCAAGTGGAGATAAATTAACTGAAGAAAAGGTTGAATACAAAGGTTTGTATTCCTATTACACTTGTGTTTAATGTTGTTAATGTATTCTCTTTGGCAACAACTGCAACCCCAATTCTTAGGTTTGAAAAACATTGTACACAAAATCAGAAAATAGTGTTACACCTATAAATTCTCATAATAGATTTACATTCTGAAATCTACTGGACTTAAATATATTGCGCGTATCTTTGAATATGATATAATAGTAGAACTCAAACTGCATATCATTAACGTCAATTTACATAATAATAGAATATATTATTCATCTTTGTTGTATTTATTTGTCATGGTAATCAGAATATATTACTGAGGGGGAGATGTAAGATTATGGTTCATGTAGCTGTGCCTATTAGTGGCATGCATGTGCATTGATTTGAGACGCTACAGTAGTATTGTATTTGCTCTATTATTATTATATGCACTTATGTAAAATACAGAGGTATTTCATAGTCATATATGTAATGTTTTAATGATTCAGTATACAACAAACACAATTTTTGGTTTATATGTGCTTCTTCTGGAAATGCACTTATAATAAAAGCAAATACAATATGTGTTTACATTAATTGAAATAGGATTTACTTTGCAGTGTTATATGGTGTTATTTCATCCCTAACTTTATATATTCTATTACACATAAACGCAAAATGCATTTATTGCTTGCAAGATTATTAAAATAAGACTTATTTTGACCATAGATTAAGCCTTTCATTTACATAAGCACATGTGCTTCTCGGGTGTATGTATTTGCTTTAATGTTGTGAGCTGTGTGCCATGTTGTGTTGTGACACATATGTGACATGATGATTAATCAATAATACATGTACATATGTGCAATTGGCTTCTGTAGGTGGGCCGGCTTTGTGGAGGCCATTAAGCAGTCTGTCCTGTCACTTGGAGGACATCAAGCCGGATTTTGTAACTGGACAAGATTTTGGAATCACTGATTTCTTGACAGGACCAAGTTCATCAAACTTAGAGCGGACACATCGTATATCGTCAACTGAACCCCCTAAGTGGCCGTTAAACACACCTCCACCCGCCACATGGGATGATGAGGAAGAGTTTGATTTAGTTCAAAAGAAGTTGGCGTCTATGCCAAGACCACCAACACTGCCAGAAAGCACTACACCTAACTCTGCCAAAATGCGAAACATTAATTCAGCAAAACGGGAAAGGTTATCGGCTCAAAAAAGAGACACTGATACTAGTAAAAAAGATAGACCTTCCAGTGGTAGTGGAAGGAGACTTCCTAGTGTTAACAAAAACGTTAATGTAAACGAAAGACAGTCTGCAACACATAGAAAGTCAACAGATGTCAAGAAAAGGGGGCGAAGAAGCCTACCACCACGCCCACCGTCAAGACCATCGTCTTCAAGACCTTGTAGTAGAATTGATGTTGATGGGGATGATATGAGCAGATATGATCATGACAATGAAAAAATCCTTCAAAATGAGGAGGATGATGAGACCTTACATCAGTTAGAATGGGAATTGGCCTCTCAAGATGGTAGAATTACTGGTAAGACCATTCATAGAATTGAAAAAAAGTATTACATACTCCAGATTACCATAACCTTACAAATGGCATCACAAAGCATTTATACATGATTCATTCATGATATTTGCAGCATCAGTAAGGTAAAATGGTTCGAAACCTAGCTTAGATTGGGATTTGTTCAGGCAATACACTTCCTTAAGACCCAAGTTACTCAATAATCACTAGCGTTGGGTGGAAAGCATATTTAATTCAGTTATTATTATTCTATCATTTTTGCCATACGTTTATCATTCACATGTCGTTTCTGCACCACTGTTGCAAATAAGTGTCAGCATGTGGGGTTCTTATCTGTTATGTAAAAACACAAGTAAATGTTGGAGATGACAGCAAGTAAAAAAAAATAACCTTGAACATATAAAAAGAAATGTGAATCGGAGTAACCAGAGAGTCCACATTTTCCTGAGCTCACTGAATAAAGCAGAATAAAACAGGTTGATGCTCTAAGTAATTCTGATAACACCAATTTGTTACTAACAATTACAGCCACGCAAGCCAACTGAACACATTTCATTTCATTTGCAGCTGATGGTAACATTTCTCGTATGTCGATGTTGGATGATATTCCGGATGAGGATATCAATTCTGATCTTGAACTTGGAATCAAACAGGACATCGGCATGGGATCAGGACTGAGCTCACCATGCGATGACTTTGATATCGAAAAGCGCCTCAGTGAAGAAGACCTCATGGACGACTTTGAGGAAACTGAACGACTAATCATGGCGGATGAAGTCAAAAACTTGGAATCGTAATATCGACCATCATGCAGAGTCCTTTATACTCAAAACATCCCTTACTGAAAACCCCCATGGATAGCCGAAATGAATGAAAAAAAAAACATTACGTTAATTAATAGTATGCAGCAATAATGCATGTATAAAAAGTACATTCCAATTGCTTTAACAATTTCTGAATTTCCTGCATGTCTCTCTGTAGCCATCAACTTAAGTTTTGTACTTAAATGATTCCTCAGATTGTAAGTTTTCCTAAAGTGTCACCGGCTGATTCTTCTGGCAGCATATGCAAATATTTCATCGTCTAATTTTTTTTGAAGATGGATTTTTATTTATTTCTTTTTTATAATTATTATCCCAATGTTTAGTGATTTGTCATGTTAAACAGTGCTTTAAGATTAGTGATAAACTTCATAGTAGATGTGTCCCATTTAACTCAAAATACTGAGTTGTATGTACCGGTATGTATGTTTTTGGTAAATGTAAATATGTACAAAAATGATTAACTCTCAGTTTGTAAAATTGTAGATTTGGAAGTTGTTATTACATCGTTTTTTGTCTCTTACTGCGGTAGTTTTTTCACGACAGTAATTGGCGTATGTATCATAAGCAATGTACATCCAAATTGACTTTAATTGTATAAAAGGTACAATCTTAAATTTTTTGTCTCAACAGATAACGCTGCATAATTAATTGTAAGTCATTTCAGAGCGTTGACCTTCCAGCTGATTAAATTATATAATACTGATATTATATTTATCTGGCCTTTATTTCGTCTAAATCTGCCTGCATGTCAAACATACAAGAAATCTACATGATAGCCTACTGTTTCAGTGCATGTGTGTTTTTACTCTAATTGAGAGGCTGATTGACCTATGAACTTAATATTAATAACTTAAATGTACTCACTATTGACGTGCTTTGCTTTTATTCAGTTTCATGATCCCCCAATAATTAACACTAGCAGACATTCACTCTCTTTCAATTAATTTTCAATAGGAGAGAATCAGTTATCACTTTTTAAGGTGAATCGCGAAAAGTCTTGCTTATATCAAGTATTGGGTTTCATATTAGATGTAATCATTGAATGTCACAAAGAGTTCATAGTTTTGATAACATAGAAAGCCTTTCTGCACTGACTGACTGACTTGGCATTATCTGGTTTGTCATGACAATTTCTGTGTACTGTGTAC